GCGGCCAATTTGCGGCGCTCCCGGGGCTGGCGCTTACCATGCGCCCGGGCCAATTCCAGCACAGCACATGCACCACGTGCCCAGGGCCAGGCCAGCCCCGAGCACTTGGCGGGCGCACACAAATGGCCCCGCGGGCACCGTGTTGGGGACCACTGGACTAGATGATCATAATGGTCCCTTCTGACCTTAAAGTCTATCAGTCTATGAACAAGACCCTTCTGACCTTAAAGTCTATGAGTCTACGAACAAGATGGGATATTTGGGGGTCAGCTCTTGTGACCCAATCTTTACTCTCACAAAATCCAGATTCTGGGTAGACATCATCAATGTGAATCCCACCTCAACCTTGGACTGACTATCACCTTACACCCCTCTTCACTTGCTATGTATTTTGGGTACAAATAACCTGCATGTGTGCTTTTGCAAACGTTAATGAGAGGACAGATTGTAGGTGAGGGACAAAATTTAGGAGAGCCAATGACTGGGTTGTAATGAAACCAAAATAACAAGTACTATTCCCATTAAACTAATATTGGTCATATTGGGTTTCTAATGTACCACAGAATATTTAATAATAGCAAAAGACCTTTATTAGACAGTAACACATGCAAAATGCATTGCTTCCAGCTATAACTACTGTAGCATTTATAAGAGAAGATTAACAAATGTGTTCGCAATGCACTCAACAAACAGTCTCCAGGCAAAATATTCAAACATTTTTTAAAATTTGTTCCTGTTTTATGAGCCATAGTATCTCAAAGCATGAAACAATTTTAATTCTGTACAATACACAATAACATTTCTATTACAATAAGAAGGCTAATATTTCATATGTATTCTCTTTCCATAAGCAACTCTTTTTCAAATAGCAATAATAATTGTCAGCTGTAGCTTTTGTGATGCTAACAAGCAGCCAGTTTACTGAAAATATCTTCTGTACAGTGTACTTTTCTGAACTGTTAATTTCAATATTCTTACATATTCAGGGATACTAAGGATATGTCTACCCAGCAGTGTTATTTTGGAATAACTTACATTATTCTGAAATAACATAGCCCACGTCTACACTACAGGTTGTACCTCCCTTAACCGGGACTCCCCTGGTCCAGCAACATCCCTAGTCTGGCATGGACCATGGATGTTCCTAGACCACAGAGCCCAGAAAAAGGGAGGTCTGGCAGCAGGGCAGGAGTGCGTAGGGAGGATTGGTGACTCAGCCAGGAGCCCACAGTGTGTGGCAGGGAAGGATGGATGGCAGGCTGGGGGTTCTGGCTCTAGCAACCTCCCTACCACAGCGGCCAGGCAGCTCTAGCCTGGCTGCAACCATGGACCTCCTGCCCCCAGCCAGGGAGCTCCGAACCCAACAGCAGCCAGAGAGGGCCCCAGCCCCGACTGCGGAGCTCCAGCCACGTTCTGGCTCCAGCGGTCAGGGAGCTCCCGCCCCAGCAGCAGCCAGGGAGCTCCAGCACCATTCCTCTGCGCTGGCGGCAGAGCATTCCAGCCCCAGTCACAGTGGGGTGAGGGAGAGCCCCAGGGGGCTGAGGCAGCAGCGAGGGCAGGCCGGAGGCCTAGCCCGGTGGCAGCATGGCCAGAAGGGGTCCAGCAAATCCCCTCGTTTGAGACGAGTCAAGTCCTGAGAGTGTTGAACCAGCGAGGTCCAACCTGTACAAACGTTGAGCTGGAGGACTTCTTACTCCGACTCCTGTAACCCTCATTTTATGAGGCATAAGGGAAGTTGGAGGAAGAATGCTCTTTCTTAGACTCCCTGCTATGCAGACAGTACCAAAAGCCAAAATAAGCTATTTCGACTTAAGCTACACAACTGATATAGCTCAAGTCATAAGCTATTTCGACTTAAGCTACGCAACTGATATAGCTCAAGTCACTTAGTTTATTTCGGCTTTAGCCCTGCTGTGTAGACATACCCTAAGACCGCAGTGGAAAGAGCTGTTCAATTTTCCCTCTCAGTATTAGTATCAGGTGGCTATTGTATCAAGTGGGAAGTCCTTTTCCTTTCTCTCTACTACATTCCATATGGACTTCACAGATTTCATTTAATTTAATATGGTGTACTAATCATGACTATAACTGAGTTTATCCTGCTGTCCTCAGTGCTGAAACAGAACAATTAACTCCTTTGAGGATTCTATATGCTGTCTAGCCTTAAATATAGGGGCCTGGGAATCTGATCTCCTGAATTCCACTCAAAGCCCTGTCAATGACTCACTGAGTGAACCTGCTGTAGTTACTTCACCCTGATTTCCAAAGTTTCACATATTTAAAGCATTTACAATCAGTTCACTTGAGAAAGTCACCTGATTTTCACAGGGGCTATGCGCACATAGCTTTCAATTAGGATACTTATTTAGGAGCCGAGATTTAGAGTTAGGTGGGTATTTTAGGTACTAATAGTTGGAAATATTGGCCTCAAGTGTGCTGTGCTTCAGTTTACCCTCTTTCACAGTGTATACACGTAAAATTACCCAGCACACTTTTCTGTTGTGAGAATTCATTAATGTCTGTTAGGAGTTTTGAGAATCTCAGGTGGAGATCTCTGTACATGTAAAGAATATTACTATTATATGCCATTCTGAGCATCCTTTTGGCATATAAAACAGCAGTGCTCTAAGGGTTAAGTGTTTTTAAGTTTTTCTGGATCTGTCTGTAATAATCATTAAAATAATAATATTTTGACTTATTTCTTTCAGCACAGATATAAAGTTAACGTGGCATCCAAATGGCTATATCCAAATAGAATAGTTTAACGTGATTAAATTGTTAAAACATTTTTTACTTCAGTGTAGCCAGTAATTTCAATTTTTTAGCAACTGATTTCTTTAGCTGTCATCCCATTCTAGAGTATTTCTTCTCTCATCAGTGTTTATGGGATTCCAATGTCCATTAGCATGTATGTTACTTCAAGAAATCACATGTATTGAAAGGATAGAATTTCTTATTGCTCACGTTTTAGTACCCCGAAAGACAAACATCATGAGTATGTGGACTTAGCAACAACCAAAAAAACTCCTACTCATTTTAAACCAGTGCAATTTTATGATCTAATTACAAATAGGGGGGCTTGATTCATTTCTCCATTATACCACTTACACACTAGTGTAACTTTACTGATTTCATTTGAATAAAACCAGCATAACTAAATGGAGTTATGCCAACATACACCCGGCATAATAAACTGAAGCATCAGATCATGCAACTCCACAAAAATTCAGATATTATCAGAAATGCAATTAAAAGCTATGAAAAATTACATCTTTACAAAACAGAAGTATAGGGCCTGGTTCTGCCATGAACATTGAGTAACCTGTATTTATTAACCCTTAGACAAACAACAGATATGAGACACTCCAGTTCCACCTACCTTGTGTTTCCCAAAGTTGCCTATTAATGAACGACTATGGGATTTCTTTCCACTTTCTTTTGTATCTCGATTCTGTGCAAAGGAAAGTGCACAATTAGCATATTTTTCAAGCCATCTCAGGAGGTAGCTTTGTATTTTGAAGTTTGCTATGATCATTAAAAAGATGGATTTGTCAAACTAATATGTATTGTTGTCTGTGACACTATTAAGATAATTAATAATTACATGCAAGAGTATAATGTAATAATTATATGCCAAAGTAAAAGTGAAAATGAAGCTATTTAAATCTAAACACAATATACTTAGCTTTTGATGTATTTGTAATACAGAATTTTTCTGCTTCTTTATGCTATAATGATTTGGCAACCACTGATGGTAGTGAAAATAAACAAGTAGCAACCCAACAGCATTTTAAATTTAACTGAAGACCAGAAAACAATAACAGAAGTTGTTCTTTCCAATAAGTGCATTTTGATGATGGGACATCAGCAAAACCATCTTTATTTAGGATAGCTGATGAACCCTCATTTTACAGACTGAATGTGACAGGGTCAACATTAATGATTAAAATAAAAGAGATTCTAAATTTCTCTCTGCTTTTTTTTTTAAACAGGCAAAAATATGCTTCTCTCCTCCACTTAATGCCATTTTCCAATCTAGTGATATCACTTCATCATCAATTGGTTGCTCTGAATAGATGAGCTTCTTGTACGAAGCAGCCATACAAGAACTAGAGTATTCAAAGAGACACCATGCAGTAATGCTTCGTACAGAAGGCCACATTATGGTCTACAACAGTAGCAGGTCGTTAATGGAGAGCAAACTTGGTTTTTCATTTTATGTGTTTCTAGATCAGCTGCTCTGCCATGGAAAGCATGGCAAAAGACTAAATCACTCCTATTCCTGATTAAACCAGGCAAGTCAAGAGTAATTCTATTCTTATAATTAAATCTGGAGTCACTAACTGATGTCAGTGTAGTAATAGAGAGGTAGTCGTGTTAGTATGATCTTGGTAAAACAAAAGGAAAAACTACGTATCACTTTAAAGACTAACAAGATGGTTTAATAGGTGATGAGCTTTCATGGGCCAGACCCACTTCCTCAGATCATATTCTGGAAGATAACTGGCATGACCATATACAGGGCTTGACAAACCCAGGCAAGAGCTACTCGCCAGCCCCGCACCGCACATGCACCAAACTGGCACTGCACATGCGCAAAGCGCCAGTAAATGGGGCGCACGGAGTGACCGGCTGAAATCTACTCACCACGGGCGAGTAGATTCAGAAGTTTGTCAAGCCCTGACCATATATACCAAAGGAATACAATGAAAAAAGTGAACACATTATTAAACTGACAAATCAGATTTAGTACAGAAGGTGGGGTAAGGGGGAGAGAGGGAGGGAATAGTTATTTGAGTCAATGAATGGCTAATCAGGGGTGATAAGTGGGAAGCTATCTTTGTAATGCTTAAGGTAATTAGCATCTTTGTTAAGGCCCATTCATAAAGTGTCAAATTTAAGGATGAAAAAAAGTTCTGAAATTTCCCTCTGTAATCTGGTGTTAAAGTCTCTTTGAAGTAAGATGCACATAGTAAGGTCGTTAAGACTATGTCCAGGTAGGCTGAAATGAAAAGCAACTGGTTTTTCCTTGTGAAGATGTCTGATGTCTGATTTGTGGGCATTAATTCTTTGGCGAAGCGTCTGAGAAGTCTGTCCAATATACATAGCAGAAGGACACTGTTGGCACATGATGGCATAAATTATATTTCTGGATGAACAGGAATATGTGTTCTTGATCATATAACTGACATGGTTAAGTCCAGTGATGGTGTCACCAAAGTATGTGGACAAAGTTGGCAACGGGGTTTGTTGCAAGGGAAAGTTCCAGGGTTGGTATTAACGTGGTATTTCCTGTGTACTACAAATACGCAGAAACCGTCTGTCTCAGCAGCTTGCGTCACCATATACACTTCTTCAAAGTAAGTGAAAAGTGGGCATAAAATCTTACCACCAGTGTGAGTACATAATTCTGATAAGGTGTCATTTAACAACCAGAATGCATGCTTTTGCGCACGTGTGCATGAAGACACAAGCTGCCATGGCACTGAAGAAATAGTTTCCTTAAATTAGATTAAAATCTGTCCAAGCAGAATTACCCATTGTTTACATAAGTGTATCTGAGATCAGAACTTGCATATGGATTCCTAAATCACAGAAATGGTCTTGAATTTGTAACACGATGGTTATCAGCAAATTCTGAATGGTTTAGAATAGACAATTCATGATATAGCTAATTTTACTAAGGCTAAGTATTGTGGAAGAAAACATTGTTATTCTTCCACAGTATTCATTTCCCAAGCAGCCTCTGAAAAAAGTATTACCTAGGTGAGCAGGTAACACACACGTTACATTCTCTAGAGGTTAATGCAGTGGTCCCCAACCTTTAGAGGCTGCCGGGCGCCAGGGGGCGTGGCCATTCGCCTGCTGGGCGCCAGAGGGCAGGGACACATGCACGCCCGGGGGCGGGGCCCCCCATAGCCACGTGCTTGGGGCCGGGGGGGCCCCCCCTGCAAGCGCCGTGCGCCTGGGGCCGGCGCTCCTCCCAAGCGCTGCGCGCCTGTGGCCAGCGCCCCCTCCAAATGCCGCGCGCCCGGGGCCGGGCCCCCCCCTGCAAGCACCGCGCACCCGGGGCTAGCGCCCCCCCCAAGTGCCACGCGCCCGGAGCACGAGCGGCCAATTCGCAGCGTTCCTGGGGCTGGCGCTTACTATGCACCCAGGCCGGCTCCGGCACAGCGCATGTACCATGTGCCCGGGGTCAGGCCAGCCCCGAGCACTTGGCGGGCGCACACAAATGGCCCCGCGGGCACCATGGCACCCACGGGCACCGTGTTGGGGACCACTGGGTTAATGTTTGTTGTAGATCCCAGAAATGGGGCCATTTGCAAGTGCATATTTTAATGAGGTAACAGAAGGGTTGTGGGGTCCCTTTAGCAAAAGGAAGGGATGAATCAGCAAAAGGACTCAGAGTTGAATTGGAATCATGAGGAATGGAATCTAGATGGACCAAAAGAAATCCTGCACCATTTGGAAGTGTAGGTAAAGGGGACATTAATAGAGGCCAAAAATATGGACAAATGAAGAGTTTGTTAGTTCACCTGGAAGAAAAGGGAGGCACTTGGATAGCTGCAATCAAGGAGAATGAGATTTGCATATCAAAAAAAAAAAGAAGAAAGAAAATAGAAAAATCTCAGTAGATAAATTAGAAACTAGCTTTATAATGACAAATCCTTAATTATAACAAAGCTAGCTAATGAGTTACTGAATTTCCAAAACATAAAAGTTTAATTCTTGTTTACAACTGTACTCTCCTAACTAGGTCAACAGATGATATCAATTAAGCCTTCAGATATTTTAGCTTGTTATTGTATTGCTGACTCTGAGCTGAAAAAAGGACCAAAAATCATTTCTAAAAGTCATCAAGTACAACAAGGCTTCAGACAGGAATGGAAAGAGACAAATGGGTATCATTAGTAGCCACTTAAATTATATCAGATTAACGAATCAGCAAAAGTCGAGCCTCAGGGCTGGTCTACACTAAAGCTGTAAGTCAACCTAAGTTATGCTACTTTTGTTATGCAAGTTACATAATGGAAGTCAACGTAACTTAAGTCAGCTAACACTGGTGTCTCTACCACACTGTTGGTAGAAGATGCTCTCCCACCAACTTACCTTAGGCTTCGTGGGGAGGTGAAGTACAGACATGGATGGGAAAGCACACGGCTGCCATCAACTTACCTTGTCTTCACCAGACCCACTAAATCAACACCGCTGAATCGATCGCAGCCGTAAGAATATACAAACCCTCAAATTTGATACTTATAGTTGACAGCATCCCACATTCAATGGCTGGATATGGCTACAGTCACTGATATCTGCAACAATCTCATCTTCAACAATTTTCTTGGATCATATTAATTAAATGTAACCGCTAAGTTTAGATGTCATTAATTTCTCCAAGATGAACTATGACTCCCAACGTGACTCCCTCATGGAGAAAATTACTGCCATTTTATAAATAATTATTTTTGTAAATAATAATCTTTTGGGTTATCTGGGAAAGCTGCAGAGAGGGAGGGACTGCGCTAAACTGAAATTGCCTAGCAGGATCTAGTAGGTGACAATCAGAGGGCTGCTTTGCCAATCTATAAGTGTTTTCAAGATGAAGCCCTAAGAAAGTACCAATGGTTACTAACCCACTGTAAGACTGCTTGAACATTCAGATGATGTTTAACATTCAATGAAGAAATACACAGTTTAACATTTACACAATCAGGTTCTTTTAATTGTGCTCCCATTAATTTTAATGACTCAGAAATGACCCTTTGAAGTGGATTTTACAGTCTGCTCTGCATTGCAGGAGGGAACATAGCTCAATAGAAATGGAAGTTTAGACTCCAGAGATCTATTTCTCAGCTCTGCCACTGATTTTCTGTCAACTTTAACAACCTGCCTCACCTCTCAGTGTTTGTTTACCTATGTGTAAAATGGTTAGCTGCTTACTTCACCTTGAAGTTTAATCAATTATTGTGGGTGATATACATTGAGATTTTCAGACTGAAGGAGCTATGGAAGTGCACTTACTGTCAGTTTCAAGCTACACTAAGCAAATCGAGTAAAGACACAACTGTAAATTGTTTCTGTTTTATTTAATACAGGAGGTCACATTATCTTATGTTCCCAAAGTTTGTAAAAAAAAACCAGACTGGACCATACCATTTACATCAGTGGTTATCCAGAATGATGCCACTCAAAGGGTAGGTCTACGCTACAGCGTTATTTTGAAAGATCTTATTTTGAAATAACGCGTCTAGACACAAAATGAATATTGAAATAGCGTTTTGCTATTTCGAAATAGCGCGTCCACACTGATAGGATGCTGAATCGCATTTAAGGCCGGCCAGAACTGGTTCTTCCAGGGCATCAGGTCAGGAGTTAGCCTCAGACAGCAGCCACACAAGATATCTGAGACCTGTGCTTAAAGGGATCCCGCCAGACAGCCAGTTCTAAGGTTTCCCTGCTTGCTTGCCTACCTCGCTGAGGGACAGCAAAGCATTTTTTTCTCAGCATGCTCTGGTTGACCTCACTGAGGACACCACAGCACTCTGCAGCATGGAGCCGGAGCCGACCCTGGCACTCTGGTGCTTCTCCTGGATGTGTTGCTTCGAGCCTGGCAGAATGTTTTGCAGGCAGTAACAGTCTCCATGGTGTGCCCCACTGGGGGCTTGTGCCTCATTCCTCCCTCACATCCTTTCACTTACCCCTCCCTAACCCCCCTTCCTGCTGTACAATAAAAGACACGTGTTCATTACAACAAAGCATCTTTATTGAACAAAGCTGCAGTGCGGGGGGCGGGAGGAGAATGAAACTGCGGTGAGACTGGGGAAAGAAGGTGGGAGAGGGGAGGGGGAAACCTAGGAGGAGGGAGCTGGCAGGGGGATAATGGGAAGAAGAACTGGAATGGGACAGCTGAAGGTGGTCTGACAGGAAGAAGCGGGAGACGGAGAAGGAGTGGGAGGAGGAGCAGTAGCTGGGGAGGAAGCAGGGGCTGGAGCAGCAGGAGGCAGCAAGATGACCACCTGGGAGGCACGGACCATCCTGCCCCCCAGGATGCAGTCCACGGCATCAAAATAGGGGCAGGGGTCTGGGTCTGCACCTTGTTGGGAGCTGCCCCCTGTGGCCCTGGCATAAGCCTGCCGCAGCTCCTTTATTTTCATGCGAACCTGCTCCTGGGTTTGCATGTGGCCTTTGGCGGCCAGGCTGGCAGCCATCCGCCTGTAGACGGTTGCGTTCCTCCATTTAGTGCAGATATCATGGACGTTGGAGGCATCCCTCTCAAACCTGAATTAGGTCCCTGATCTCCGCACTGGACCAGGCAGGCGCCCGCCTTTTCCAGCCCCTGGAAGGCTCCTGGGAGCTGGCAGACTGTCCTGGGGAGCAGTGGAGGGCTGACTGGCACTGGCTGCCTGGCTCATGCTGGGGCCACTGGGTCAGGTGCAGCGACTGCTGGCTCTGGGCTGGCAGGCTTGGAGCTGGCACAGGCACTGTGGCCAGAGTCTACCCCTTTAAGGGCTCCAGAGAGGAGTGGAGGGAGAGGAGTATTCTTGGTTGTGCCCAGAGTGGCCACCAGGGCACCCTGGGAAGGGCTGGATGCCCCCTATTTCGAAATAAGCGTCTACACAGTGGTTATTTGGAAATAGCAGTTGCGAAATTGGCGCTATTCCTTGTGGAATGAGGTTTACCAATTTCAAAATAAGTCCTCCGCTATTTCGCTTTAATTTCGAAATAGCAGTTTGGCTGTGTAGACGCTAGTAAAGTTATTTCGAAATAATGGCTGTTATTTCGAAATAACTTTGCTGGGTAGACATATTCAAGAAAAGTTACTCCAGATTTATATCTATCAATTCTCATGTAACTCGAAATAACTTTGCTGGGTAGACATATTCAATATTCAATACTCCAGATTTATATCTATCAATTCTCATGTAACTGGCATGAGAATTGGTCACACTGAGCACTTACTAATGCAAGCATATCTAAAGCTCCTGTTTTGCTCATATTCTGTGACCTGGCTTCACTTAACACTTATCTTTCATAATTTATGCTAAACACCCTGATGATGTGATGGGACACATTAGCCTTGACATTTTGACCCATGCAGTCTCAGTGACTACTGAACTTTATCTAAGTATGGCTATATTTAGACTACAGAGTTTTTCCGGGATACCACAGGTATCCCGGAAAAACTACTGCATCCAAGGAACACATCTGCTCTTCTGCCATTTTTTGCGGAAAAGCAGACATGCTCTTTCAGAAGCCCTGTCTTCCTTGTTTCATGAGAAAGAAGGGCTCTTCTGAAAGAAGAGGTTTTTATGAAATTTGGCCCAGTGTAGATGGGCCAAATTTTGGAAAAGCCTCTTGCAAAAAAACTATTGGAAAAAGGCGCACAAGTTGTGAAGCGCAATTTGTGTACCTTTTTCCGATAAAACTCTGTTCTAAGCTCTTATTTTAAATAAAATGTTTCAAGAGCTGTTTATTAACTATTACGATGACCTTTTATTACACGTCAAATCTGCAACGAATATTGCCACTATTGTAACATTACTGAATTTGTTATAACACAAGGAAGGAAAAATAATGATCATACCTGTTTCAAGTTTACATTTAAGCCTTCATGTGTTGCTTTCAACAGCGCTCTCACAGTGAAACTATCAGGGTCTTCTTTGTCCCTGATTTGAGATTCTTTTATCAGAGATTCAAGTTTCTTTCTTATAAAAGACTCCATCTGGTGCTCAGTTGTACCATTACTCTGAAATGAATTAACAAATTTGGCTACAGTACAATCAGACATGCCAAGCATATTTGAGTAGCCCAAAATGAGCACTATGGATGCTTCCATTCAAGCAAACTATTGTTGCTCTCAACTTTCTTCGGACCCTTTCCAAGTACAAGCAGGATGATGAAAAAAGCTTTAGTTTCCCTCTTCATATTGGCTGCTTTCCCTGACAAGCATTTCCCTTTAGCCCTCTGATGTGTAATATACATTGACATAGATGAGCATTTAAATCCCCTCAGAATTTTGTCTTGTGTCACTTTCCTGACATGGGAACAATGGTATCACTTACCTATTCTCTCTGAAATGTGGTAAAGAAGACACAGTGATGTGCTGCCATAGCCCTTTGAAAATGTAAACCACTAAGGGCATGTCTAAACTACAACCCTCCATTGAAAGAGGGATGTAAATTAGGCAGATCGAAAGTGCAAATGAAGCAGGGATTTAAATATCCTGTGCTTCATTTGCATAATCTCGTCACAGTGTTCTTTCGAAAAAGGGTATTTCGAAGGTGAAACCTCTGTCTAGATGCGGTTCTTTCAAAAAGAAAAACCTTTTTCGAAAGATCCTGTACTCCTCATTCAAAAAACTCGAAAAAGGTTTTTCTTTTTGAAAGAACCGCATCTAGACAGAGGTTTCACCTTCGAAATACCCTTTTTCGAAAGAACGCTGTGACACGATTATGCAAATGAAGCACAGGATATTTAAATCCCTGCTTCATTTGCACTTTCGATCTGTCTACATCCCTCTTTCGAGAGAGAGATGTAGTTTAGACATGTCCAAAGTGTGCAACGGTATAACTCTTCCTTGATGGAAGACAGTAAGTCATTTGTATTGTGATAGCTCCTATGGGTGCTATTATGCTAGGAGCTGTACAAACGCAAAAGGAAAAATGCTTAGCAGAATTTTTGATGTAAATAGTAAGGGCCTGACATCAAAGTGGAATTCCCCCTTCTGCTGAGGGGGATTTCACATCCATGAAAGAAAGTGAAGGCCTACTACCAAATCCTGCAGATTCTCCGATTGTATGGTAGACAAGGGGCCACCTGCAAGGTAGCGCCATTAGCTCACAGGCAGGGGCTGGCAAAATGCGGGCCAGCTCCAGCCCACCAAACCACTGAACCTGGCCCGTCATCACCATCCTTTGGCCCAGTGAGTGCCTCAGGTAGGCTCCCTGTCTTCTGCACCCCTGCACACAGCACATGGGGGGGAGAGGGCATGTGCTCTCCGCGCCACAAGTCCTGGGGGAGGGAGATTAGGCATGCTGCCCCCGCTCCCAGCACAACTTCACAGTTCCCTTTGGCTGGCTTCCAGCCAATGGGAGTTGTCTGGGCTGTGCTTGCGTCACAGGCAGCAAGCACTGCCCGCTCATTCATTTCCCCCACTCCACCCTGAGGCTTGTGACACTCAGGCGATGTCTAGATTACGGAGTTTTTCTGGGATAAGGAGTTCATGCAGGGAACACGTCTGCTCTTCTGCAAAAATGTCCGAAGAGCAGATGTGCTCTTTCAGAAGCCCTGTCTTCCTCGTGCCATGGCTCTTCTGAAAGACAAGGTTTTTCTGAAATTTGGTCCCGTGTAGATGGGCCAAATTTTGGAAAAGCCTTTTCCGACAAAACTATCGCCCCAATCCCCTATCCCAATCTCCCTTCTGCACCCAACCTCCATCCTAGACCCCACACTTCCTCCATTAATAACATGGAAGATGGCAGCCCATGTCAACTTTCCAAATTCTTGGAATGGCTCCCCCAAACAATTATTGCCTACCCCTGCTTTAAGGGCTTCCATTCCTTGGTAATGCAACTTCTACCTCTAGTGCAGTAGTTCTCAAAGTGTGGCCTGCAGATCACGATCGTCTTTCAGGTGGGCCCCATAGGCTTCAAGCTCACTCCCCCTGCAGCAGGAAGCCTGTGATGGTGCCAACCCTGTACCGCTCCCTGCAAGGTTGGAGTGCCAGCGCTGTCTTCCCGCTGCAGGGGGAGGGGGAAGCCTTGTGGGCCAAATCCAGCTTGCAGAGGAAGGATGTGACTGTGTGCTGCAGCTCTCCCTTTCCCCAGCTGGGGGAATGGCAGCATAGGAAACTGTTCACCTACCCTAGAGGCTTTCCCCACAGCTCCCATTGGCTGTAATCCTGGCCAATGGGAGCAGTAGGGGGTGTTGCCTGGGAGCAGGGGGAGGCACAGAGCCAGGTAAGTATCCCCCATTCCCCTCATGCCCAGACCCCACACCTCCATCCCCCCTCACACATCCCCTCCCACCGAGACCTTGCACCCCCAGCCCACTCCAGCAGTCTCTCTTCCTCCCAGTTCCCCTCCCTTCATCCTGATCCTGCACCAACCTCCCACCCAAAATCCCCTCTTCCTCAGTCTGCTCCTGCACCCAACCTTCCAGCCAGACCCCACCCTGAGTCCGCTCCTGCACCCTACCTCCCACGCAGAACTCTGACCCCCTTCTGCACCCATTTTTGTCATCATAGGTGGTTGGCTGGTGGTCCCCAGAAAGGTCTGCATTCAGTGGGGTGGGCTGCGGACCAAAACATTTGAGAACCACTGGATTAGTGTCTCTCCTTAAGATTCCGTATGATGCAGGAGGTGCAGGAGGGAAAGCCAGTACAGTCTCTGCCAGTCACTGAGAATTTGTGGGTTCAATGGTGTGGTCGCATGAATGTAGAGTTAAAATTGTGGTTACCATGGGTTGTCTAACCTTATCTAGAAAATGTCACGGTTTTCAATGTTTGCGTTATATTTCGACTTGTGTTCAGCAGCATCTCTTTGCTTCAACCCCAACCCTGCATTGATTTGGACAGGTGCTTAAAATTAAGCACAGCCTAAAGGCTTTCTGGATTGGGGACCTAAATTGTATTTAGCAACCTTCACTGTAGCTTATTTTTTTTGTTACTAAATAGGAAAAAGTTTCATGCTGCAAGAAATACGGAGGGAATATATATTCTTGGGTCACTGAACAAACCATCTCTGCCTCATGCTTCCTGGACCCAAAGCAAAATTGTATTTCTACATGAGGCTGTCTTGTAGACCATATGGCTCAAATAGCATCATGCTACATTCTGATCATAAAGTAATCATAGAGCCTAAGGCTTTGTAAGAATGCAACGAAGCACATCTTCTCTCTCAGTGTTAAGTATCACTGCATTTATCTGGAGACAGGGAGAGAGAGAGAGGGAGAGAGAGAGAGTGGGAGGGAAGCAAAGAAATTCAGTCCCTTTATGCTATGTATGTGAACCCTAGAGGAGACTTTGCTGATTATTTGACATGTAGGTGGTGCCTGTGCATAGAATTAAAGAAAAGAAATGGTGTGAACATCTGCTTTCTCTAAACTAATTCAGAAGGGGATCTAAGTCTGCAGAGGGATTCCCAAGTCAGCCTGCGAAATGCTTAACTCCCAACAGCAGATGTAAATGATTAAGAAAAACAAAAATAATTGTTTGAAAAGCTATTGCAAAATATTGAATATAACAGAAGACTACAAGGGGATGTGTGTCTGCAATAAAAACATTCAATCTGAATGAAAATTCTGTGTGCATGTAATTAACACAGCCAATATAAGTGAAAATGATATGGGAGTGAGTGTGGGAGTAATAAAAAAGCAAGCTCACGGGGCCAAATTCAAAGCTGAGAACGATGGATTTACATCTAGTGATGTCAAAACTGAATTTGGCCCCTTCTATTTTTACCATACTGTGTAATAGCTTCTTTCTTGTTCAAATTTTTAAAATTAGTGAAGTGGCTGCCGCTGGGCTGGACATCTGTGTGGCAGTGTGCATCAGCACCGCACAACTGTGTTAGCAGCAACAAATATGGAAATGGCTAAACATAAAATGAAAGTATAAAATAAAACACACGGCGGTTAAATCTTTAAAAAGAGAGAGCAAGTAAAGACTCGGGGGTTAAAGGCAAGAAAAAAGGCAAGGGAAAAGAAATCATAAAAGAAGAGTTTTGAATTGTGAAATTCAGATCACTTTGGTGCTTAAATATAGATTTAGGTGCATGACTTTAGGCACCCAGATTGGAAAATTTTAATCTGTATAATTAATAATATTAAGTTGGAGTTTGGAATGTGTAAGGAACACAAAATTGAGTAAGTAAATTGTGCCACGTAATGGTGATATACTTCAGTGTTTCCCAATTTTATTTGGCCGAGGAACCCTTTTCAGAATTTCAAGGAACCCCTAGGTTTGTCAAATAAACAAACAAACAAACACAAAAGGAGGGGGGAGGGGACCCACCAATGCATGAAAATCACATTCCTTCCCTAAGACCCCCCCCTTCCTTGAGGCCTCATCCACTCTGTTCCCATCCTCTCCATCACTTTCTATCCCTAGCCTAATATGCTCTCACTAGGTTGAGACAGGAGGTGTGGGGTGGGAATGAGGGATTTGGGTGTGGAAAGGGATGAGAAGTACAAGCTCGGGGAGGGAATTTGGATGCAGGAGAAGGGGATGTTGGCTTGGGGAGGGGGATCCAGGCCCAGGAGTGTTGGGCTCAGGTGGAAGGTTGGGGGGCCAAGCAAGCCATGGGCTTGTGGATGTAAGACTTTCCTTGCATGAGCAAAATGAATTTTGTGTTGTGCACCACTACTGAGTTCATGTGGCTCGTTTGGATGTGCATCTGTGGCACCAAAGTTATTAATAAATATCTTATAACCCTTTACCTTTTCTCTCTGCTGAGATGTCTCCTCTCCTGATGCCTGCTTCCTCCCAACTCCTCACTCTCCTCTGCTGTCCTGACTCCTGCCCTTCTCACTGCCCTCAGCCTTCCTGAGACCTGGCCCCCTCCACCAGCCCTTCTCTCCTTCCTGTGCCCACTCCTCCAGTAGCCCCACTCTGATCATGTGAGCTACCCCTCCTCATCCCATCTCCTAACACCTCCCTCTACACACCTGCCCTGCCTCTCTCCTCTGAGGCTGGTCCCTCCCCTGCAGGTATCTGCCCTTCTGCTTCACCCCCAGAATCTCCTGGCACTTTCACCTTCTCACTCCTGCACCCTCCTGGTGCCTCCCCCTTCCCTCACTGCCCCTACCTCCTTTGCCCTCTTTTTCCCTGATGCCCACCCCCTCACCACCCTCTGCCCCTGTTCCCCTCATACATGACCTGCTCCATCCCCACCTTCCTCGTGCCCACCCCTTCTTTCAAGCCTTCTCCCAGCACCTCTCCCTCCCCCCTCTAGCCCCCAATGTCCTTACTCTCTCCTCTCCCAGCATCACCCTGTCCCCCCTCCCACTGACACCTCCCCTCCTGCCTTTTTCCTCATTGTCTGTACTTGGCCCCCTGGCATTTGTCTCTCTTCTACCCTGTGCTTTTGGTGCCTTCCCCTCTCCTCTCCCTCTGCACAAGCCCCTTCCTCTCCCAGCTCTTCCCCTTCCTCTACATTCCACTTTGTGGGGCCGGAGTCTGCGCTCCATCCCCAGACTCTGAACCCGCAACTCAGCCACACGGAGCAATGCAGCACCCAGCAGTTTTAAAATCCTGGGCCATGACATTATGTCACACCTGGGCGTCTCCCTGCCTACTGGTTTGAGCATGCTGCACAAGGCAGCAGCAGCAGCAAGGGGGAGCTCAGTGAAGGTTGCGCACGGCAGGGACGGAACAGTGATGGGGGTCAGGGGAAAGACGCTCTGGGGCCAGGGTGGAAGGATGCGCAGGGGAGGCTGGGGCCTGCTCCAGCTCCAAATATTGGTGGAGCATGGGCACCATAAGCCCATACAACTCACTGCCCATGCCTCTCCTGGCTAGCCAGCTCTCTCTCTCTCTTTCAGAGGGGATGGGGGAGTGCCAGCTCCTCACGGAACCCCTAGTTTTGCTTCGCGGAACCCCAGGGTTCCCCGGAGCACCAATTGGGAAACACTGATATACTTACATAACACAGCTTTAACTTGCAGTCATCTTCAATTTCATCTGCACTATCTTCATCAGAAACCTCCCCTTCTTCAGCATCAGATGCAAGGTTATATGGTAACTTCTTGCCCTAAAAATTAGCACAAAAATATTTATAATATATGTAGCAGTTACTAGTGTTAGTTACTATGGAGAAGGCAAGCTAAAATTCTTGTTCGTGTACATAGTTCCAAATAAGGTCTGATCAGAGAATACATTATTTCAAATTGTTATGATGAACATGTGCTTTCAGGATTTTTCATTTAGACTTCGACAGACACCACCCAGGGAACCAGTTTATTCTAAAGATAATGACTGGCACTGACAGTTGATTAATGGGGACAGTACAAGAAAAATTAGCAGCTTAATGGGATACAGCCATCCAGTGCCAAGAGTATTTGTTCAGAGCAGGTCTACACAACATAGTACTTGAGATACTGGTGCCTGCCACACCAAGTACAGCACTAGAGCTGTCACTACTGATACCACAGGTGGAGATGAAAGAGCAGGAAATTTCAGAGAAATAACCCTGCTGTGGACAAGGCCTCAGAACCTTGCACAGAATCAGAATGTTCAAATACAATTGTGGGCAGTGTGGTTCTGACCTCAGTTTGGCCAGGTTCTTCAGAATCAGCACCCTTCACAAGGGACACATCCTAAGCTTGCTAAAGTTAGTGGTAGTCCTGCTATGGACATCAATGATTTAGACAAGTCTCTTTGTGCACTGGTAACAGATACTAATTATACAGGGTGGCTACGTCTACACTGGCACCCTTTTCCGAAAATGCTTAAAACGGAACAGTTTTCCATTATAAGTATTTCCGGAAAAGCGCGTCTACATTGGCAGGATGCTTTTCCGGAAAAGCACTTTTTCCGGAAAAGCGTCTGTGGCCAATGTAGACACGCTTTTCCGGAAAAAAGCCCCGATCGTCATAAGCACTTTTTCCAGAAAAGCGTCCGTGGCCAATGTAGACACGCTTTTCCGGAAAAAAGCCCCGATCGTCATTTTCGCGATCGGGGCTTTTTTGCGGAAAAGACTACTGTGCTGTCTACACTGGCCCTGTTCCGGAACAGTTTTTCTGGAAAAGGACTTTTGCCCGAACGGGAGCAGCATAGTTTTTCCGGAAAAACACTAACAATTTTACAGTAGATTGTCATTGCTTTTCCAGAAAAGCAAGCGGCCAGTGTAGACAGCTGGCAAGTTATTCCAGAAAAGCGGCTGCTTTTCCGGAATAAGTGGCCCAGTGTAGACACAGCTGGTGGGATTTTTAAAGCACCTAATGCAGTTCAGTGCCAACTCCGCTTACATTTTGAAAATCCCATCTATTTAATGTTTTGATGTTTCTTTCTCCCTTTCATTACACCTCGTAGTTGCCAACTCTAATTCTATCATTTGTAACATGACTCGGGAGTGATGTAAAGCAAGTATTTGAAAGTTATGTCCCCCTGTGCTGAATTGCTTAAATGCAGGCTGTCTCTGGAATCTTGGTAACATCACATCTCTATTCTTAAAGACATGTGAGATGCTACAAACATAAAAAGAATCCTTCCTAGCAAAAAGTTTCCTTTTTTATTAAGAGTTCAAATAAATAAAGTGCTGCCATTTGTAATATGTAAAATTTAAGAATTCCTTACCAAGCCTATAGAGCAGTTCTACAGGAAAATCTGCCTCTTGCCTCCTTTTCACAGAAAAAATGCTGCAACTCTTTTAAATGAATACCATTTAGACACTCATGAGCCATTATATTGCCAGCAAGCATAAATGTTCTGCAAAGTACTGCTTCAAATTCTAGCAGTAAAAGCACTTTAGATAAGACAGCACATGCCCCATGAATATTTTTACTCAGTTTATTATTCAGTTATCATGTGTTAAAATATTAGAGCCCAAAAGTATATTTTGCATTACTTAATTTTCTATTCTCCACTGACCTAGGATAGAAATACTGGGCTCCATATTTTCATGCTTAACCCATAAACTGCTGTATTTTCCAGCTATTAGAATACTTAGGATAACATGAACGTATAGACAGACAGCTATATGAGGCTTCCAAAGGGTAGTTATAAAGATGCGGCTCATCTGTGTTCTTAACCGGTAAGGCCTTCGGCTTTCTTAAGTTCAGAATGTCAGAATCAATTTCTGCAACAAGAGGTAACTGTCTCAAAGGTAGGGTTAAGAACCCGCTGGGAAGTCTAATTTTTTACTGGCCCAATTCACTGTCAGTTGCATGATTCAAAGAACTTTCTATACTACATTCTCCCCTCACTAGAGCAGCCCTTTTGTCAGAATGTCTTTGTAGAACTAGACTCAGCTGTTTCATGCTCATCTCCAGCAGGCTGTCCTGTGTCATAAAATCAGATAATGAGGCTGAAACATTGCATCAGAAGCAGGGGAAGTGCAGACACAAAGCAACTCAGTTTCATTTGGCAATTACTGTGAGGGACACATGAAAGCCTCTAGAAATATTGCATGTACATGTGGAAGTGTAGTCAGCAAGATAAAATTAGTGGCTAAGTCACTGCTGCGAAGCAAATATGTACATGGGCCAGGAAGGAGTTTCCCCCAAGCACATGTCTAGCTTTGAACAGCTGGCTAGTGTGGTGGAATAGGGACGCAGCATTTATTGGCTACTTCTGATGGCAGGAAACAAGGCTTGAAGGATCAACAGTGCCATCAGAACAATACATCTGCCTGAATTCTTTCTCTAGCATCACTCACACTGCAACTGCAGTTCAGCAGATACTTACTTAGCAGTGTATTAATAGAAGATCCGATAAGTAATAAAAAATAAAGATGCCAGTTAATATCTAAGAAATTAAACTTGTGTGTTGTGATGTGTGCTTTCCTTCATGATTGATTACATGAGCTCATCTCGGCACTCTGCATTTGTCACTGCCAGATACAGCCATACACTACAGGCAGTCCCCGGGTTACGTACAAGATAGGGACTGTAGGTTTGTTCTTAAGTTGAATCTGTATGTATGTCGGAACTGGCGTCCAGATTCAGTTCTGACTTACATACAGATTCAACTTAAGAACCCCAGGCATCCCCAAGTCAGCTGCTGCTGAAACTGATCAGCGGCTGATTCCAGGAAGCCCGGGGCAGGGGCTTCCT